TACACAAATTTTGATGTGTACTTTCGACTGTATATATTATATTTACATGTAACAACGTATGTACGAAGGCTGTCGCTGAATGAAACCTGAGTAGTGGAACACCTAAAGAATCCCACGCGTTTGTCGATAACTGACAAGATTTTACCTGTTTCGAGTAAACACTGAACGAAGAATACGGGAACAGCTTTGCCTGGGTCAAAATGACCCTGCATTCCCAGCTGCTCGAAAACAGAATTCGATAACCGACGAGTCCAAAGTGACGCGTTATTGAGAGGTGTCATGCGTGAAAACGGGGTTCCAATAACTTGGAAATAACATTTGGAAATTACTTTGACTCAGAAACAATGGACACGCGATGGACTTGTTCAGTTTGATCAAACTGAGACGATGATACAACGTTTGCAAGCCTGTCAGATGCTGCTTCGCTATAAGCAAATAGGACATACACGCTTATGTGAACCTTTTTTATTATTGTTCCCACGCGCTATGGGATACCCTGTATATGTATATACTCTCGTCAATAAGTCACCAAACACTTAATAAATGCAGTACAAAGATTGCTATTATAGAATAAAACTGACTCTTATCGATTCTTCATCAATCTACAGTGATTGAAAATTTATTGAACGATCTTAAATATCCTCTCGAACTAATCATGGCATTCTATCGATTTCTATATGTATATTTCAGTCTTCCTGAAACATTCTCTGGTATCTGATATGTTTCTTTTGAAAATTCAGTTACGCGTACAATTTTTATTTGTTGCATGTTTTTCAACATCGTGTTCGTTCTCAAAGAAAAGAAACGGATTATAAAACATTTGTACACGTTTATAAATAATTTCGAATGCCAACTGATTCCCTAAGTGCAATAATACACCTTTCAGTTGCTTAACGTGAAATAAAAATTCTTTTCATTGTAGTAAACTGAAACCACCAAACTGAGCTATTAACTGTAGCACTTAATCATTTGCTCGATAGATGGGTCATTAATTTGAAAACTAACTTAACTTCCACAATTAGAAATATATCATTAAGTGCTTTGGTAATATCTGATTGTTTTTGTGTTGTTTTGTGGTTTCGTGCACCATGTACGTCTAAATGACTGTCACGAACATCGATATCACGAAACAATTTTAAATTGCGCGCGAAAATTACGAAATAGCAATTCTCGAAATATAGATATAATTTATAAAGAAAAGTAAAGAGAAAAACTGTACTAGATTTTACATCTATTTTACCAGAGATGTAACTGCTACATTTCTTTACCTGTGTGCTGTTAAACGAACAAAAATGGCAGTATTTGGCTAGAAAGTCAGTGCATATAGCAATCTTGTTCAATATTGTTTACCAAATGGTATAACAAAATCTGTCACGATTTAAGTTTAATTTATTAAAATTTGATGATGTTTGCAAGTGTTTGACGACGTATGAACCACGTATGACGTATGTATATTTGGACACGCTCGCGAGGCACTCAAAACACGTATGTGTGTACGAACAGCGCACGAATAATCGCACGCACACGCATGCACGCAGAAAATACACACACGCACAGACACGGACAAAGGGTGATAACCGACCGATATTCGCAATTGGCGTTTTGGCTTACCGCTTACCGCCAAGTGTCCAGATCAACACACACAGACTCACTTACGTAAGACACTAACGCGAGGCATGAGCCGGCGAACCAATCGCAAGCTCCTCGTTTTCAGTGTTTGAGCAATAGTTTATATTTGCTTGCAATTGGGTTACAGGCTTCCCGTGCTTACTACACAGTCTTATGTAATTGATTCTATTGGCTTCCGGGTGATACGGAAAAGAAAAAGGTAAACAAAGACGGAGATCACGAGCGACGACGGATACATTCTGGCATCGCGAATCTCTCGTTGAGCATCGTTCCGACTAACGTATTACGGAATTACCGTGGACGAATATTTCTATTAAAACACCACGATTCACTGAAAATCTAACGAACTTGCGTGTTGTCACTTTAAAAACAGAAATATTAAAATGGCGATCGAGGTAAGAGATTCGTATAAGAACAGTATGTTTTCTTTAAAAAAACATTAAGGGGAAGATTTTATAATATACTAAAAAACTTATAATATCAGAATACAAAGAAATAAAAATAAACGGTGCAGGATTCGAGAAATAGCAAAGATTAATAGATCCAGAGCTTCCAAACAATAATTTCTACAATTTTCAAATATTACTGAGATCTTCATACAGAAAGAGCAAGATAAAATTCACGATAATCAGTCACATATATTAAAGAAATAACGAATACGAATAAAACTGCTAGCAAAGTAACGAAAGTCACACAATTGCGTCTATTTACACAGCGTGAACAATAAATATTGTACGAGGGAACGCGGTTAAAATGGATGAAAAATGCAACAAAGCTGCGTCTTGCTCGGGAGCACAAAATTGCAAGAATTCGCGAAAAATCACAGAACCTAAGACGAAGAATGGAAAACTGTAATATTCCCCGACGAGAAAAAAATTTAATCTAGACGGTCTTGACGAATTCAAACACTTCTCGCATGATTTACGCAATGGTGGTACCGCAAACGCGAGTAGAAATTGCGGAAGTTTAACGCGTTCGCGGCCGACAGATAAAATTTCTACGAAACCGAACGAATATATCAATTTTTTCGAAGACATTTTAACTTAAACACAAACAATTTCGCGGTCTAATCTAAATTCAATAGAAAATTTCTCGCGTGCAATATACAAAAATAGAAAACAATATAACGTCATTGAAGACTTAAAAAATTCAGTAAAATATATGTGACAACAAATGGAGGAATCAACAATATAAAAAAAACATAATATTTAAAGTAATTAAACATAACTGTGGCAGTATCAGTTAGACACATTGTAAGTTCAGTTTTTTACGAAATAAAATAAAATTTTCTGTTTTTTGTTATTGTTTAGTTACTTTTTAGCATTTTTTAAATATTATCATCGAAATTCCTACCATTTTTATTCAAAATGGTGGTGTTCTTATAGAAACAAAAACCCTTTGCACTGCACTGGCGCCGCCATGACGGTAAAAACAATACATCGATTCGAGTTTCGTTAATGGTAACATAAATTGAATTCACAAAAATACATGAATGCAATTTGAATTATATACATTTTCGTGAAAAGAGAATGTTGTTTCATTGTTAGAAATCACGTTACAAAATTGCGTTGCTAGTTATTCGTATTAATAAAAATTCTCCGAGTGTAGAGGGTTGAAAGACTTCTTGTACGTTAAATAACAGAAACGGAACAGTTTTCTCAAGATTCTATACACTGGGCATTTTTTTAATTTCATTTTTCTTGAAAACAGTTATAGAAATGTCGTCCACAGTAGATACACCGATGGCGAACCGCGTTTCCGTGTTTTTCCTTGTCTTGGAATTGAAAACAACCAAGACACAGGAACGCCGGTCTTGTTTGTGCTCGTTGTTTTAATTGCAGAACAAAGGAAAGCATGGAAACGTAATGGCGCCGCTCGTGTGACCGTAGCCTAAAGGGCTGAAGTTTTCTCGATGACGTTACGGAATCGATATCGAAAAAGGCAGTGTGTCGTTACGCGGATATATTCTGAACAGTGTCTAATGCACGGCAAAGTAAATCAATTTACCGTCAAGAGAATTGCGACGGCGGAACCAGAGGTGTACCCGACGTCATATTTCACGCTCTATCGTTTCCGTGAATTTTCGTCTGGAACACGAACGTCAATAACTATCCGAGGTGACAATATCGGTTCGTGCGTCGCGCTCGTTCGTTATCGCGTATCCACCGATAGATCGATCCTCGCTCGACCTTACTCCCCCAGCGTCGGATCTGCCGTCAGTGATTTGTAATTAAAATTAATAAAAAAAAAAAGAAAAAAAAAAAACGAAAAACATCGACCACGTTCGGTAGTCGCGTGCATCGAACCGGAATTACATTCTTTGCGCCGATACTGAACGGTATCGCGTGGTCGCACCCGTATCCAATTCTAATCGTCTAATTACATCCTCGAATTGACTAGAAAATCCACGTCTAGTATAATACGGCAGCCAACAACGGCAGTAGAAATTATTCTCCCGCAATCTGTCTATCTACACATCCTTCGGAACATGCACTGCAGTCTTCGTGTTCGTTATCTTAAGAAACATGTGTCTTTATTATTATTATTATTATTCATTATTATTATTTTAACGGTAATCTTTAACATTATCGACGTTCGTTCTCGCGTACGAACAAGTTCACCCGTTCTCGTATATGTGTGTGTATGTGTGAGTGTTTAGTTTTTCATTATTTCTTTTTTTTCTCATTATTCTCTTGGTGTCCGCCCTTAGCCGTTATAGAAAGTATTACCCGTCAATATTGTGCTGCGAGACCACCGAACGACGACCGTAGGCCCCCGTCTACACCATGGCGCGTCGTCGCTTCCGGTCGTTAGAACGTCGGGATCCCTCGTACGTCGTGCACACGGAACAGCCTCGAATAAACGCGTCGAGGCATTATTCCTCGAGCAGGCGGATGGCAATTCGGTTTCATCGATCGGTCCCCGACAGATTCTTCGTTTTATGTGTTCCGTGCATTAGTCACGAGGACACGTCCAACTATTTCATCGACCACTGTACGGTAAATCTCGCGACAAGTGGACGTTCGTTTCCACCGTTTGTCGGCGCCGACGACTTCGTACGTATATATACACACGTACCGTGGAACATCTCGAATCGTTTCATCGATCACACTTCCCCCCCCCCTCCCTCTCTCTCTCTATATATATATGTACGACTGTTATATATATGTATATATATAATTATATGTTTATGTATACGCAATCCACGTGTCAACGCGACGAATTCCTCGCGGTCAAGTATAATCGTAATCGTTTCACTACCGCCCGTCCGGCATACGACAGGACGTCTGTTAACAGTCAGTGTCCTCCTGGTGGCGTCTACGGAGCTCCAGGTAACGGTGCCGGGCGTCGCAGTAATGAAGCAGCGGTACCTAGACGTCGGTCCCTGTCCCTTCCTGGTAGCCCTCGTCGGGGGAACTGCGCGTCGAGCCGAGGACACGCTTCAACGCGGACACCGGTGGCAGGACCGGCAGACCCTTCTGCCAAACTCTTATCTGCTTGGCGCCGGGCGGGAATTGCTCGGCCATCGGCGCCACCACGGCCAACGCCTCCTTCGAGGGGTACGTGCTAACCGACACCGACGTCCTGCACGCGTCCCTCGTCTCCCACATGCAACTCGAGTAAAGGATCTTCGCGTCGTCCACCATCTCCATCCGGCTGTAATCGGCGCCGCCGTACGGCGTGATGTCCTCCGCGGAACCGCGTCTCGTGTCCCTGATCAGATCGGGATTGTCGATCGGCATCAGCGTCGCGGTCGAGGAGAAACAGGCGCCCGGCGCCACCATCACCGACGGCTGTTGCTGGCTCTGATCGTCGAAACGGCCGATCGACGAACCGTACTCGTGCTCCATCTGCAGCGACGCCGGCTGCGGCCTCTGAACGTAACTCAGGCTCAAGGACACCGGCGGTTTCGATTCCGCCCCGAACGACGTCGTCTCGATCTCCTCGTGCTTCTTCCGACCGGTCGACGCCGCGGACGTCGGGTTCTCGTTGTTGGCGGCGTTGTTCCCGTCACCCGATACGCCCTCGGCGGGCACCGTTGATTTCACGTCCTTTAACGGCATCCTTCTCAAACGTATGAACAGCACGAGGATGATCAGGAGTATGAAGAGTATCAGGACGACCAGCGCCGCGGATATCCCCGCGATCTGACCGGAACCGAGCGTCGACATGCCGGCGGTCCTCAGCGACACGTGAAGGGTGAAGTTTGCCTCGACGCTGCCCGCGCGGTTCTCCGCCACGCAATAGAACTCGCTCGAGTCCGCCTCCTGGGCGTTAGTCAGCACCAGGGTGCTCCGTTTACGGAACTGACCCTCCTCGTAGATCAGGATCTTCTGGTAGCTACTGAACGCCGAGTGATTGGTCAGCAAACGTCCGTTCCAATACCACTGCACCTTAGCTGGCGGTATCGCGGTCACTCGACACACGATACTGGCGTTCTCGCCTATCGTCGCCTCGGCGTATCGGCTGGCTATCTGGAGGATCGGACGACAGGCGAAGTCGTCGACAGCCAGGTCGGTGAACGTTCGATTCAGCAACTGCTTCGGCCCGTGACACTGGGGCGCTTGTAGGGTAGGCAGATTGTGCTTCACCAGCCACATCTTCATCTCGCGCAGATGACAGTCGCAGATCCACGGATTCTCGTGCAGCTCTATGTTGGTGAGTTTGTTCAGGGGTTCGAAGGTGCCCGGATGCAGCGTCGACAGCTGATTGTTGTTCAGCTTCAAGCTCTCCAGAAGATCCAAGCCGCGGAAACCTTTCGTCTCGATCTCCACCAGCTGCGTGTACGAGAGATCGAGCTTCACCAGGTTCGGCGTATTCTTGAAGGCGAACGAGTGAATCCTCCTGACCGGATTGTTCGAAAGCACGAGGTCTCTGAGGAACACGGTGTCCGAGAAACTGCCGACCGGGACTATGGTTAATAGGTTGTGACTTAAATCGAGCTCCACCAGGTTCGTAAGGCCCGCCAGTGCCTCGCTATCGATTCGGTCGATACGGCACTCGCGTAGGTAAAGACGTTGTAGATTCGTCAAGCGTACGCGTACGAAGATGTTGCTCGGCAGGGTCCGTATGTCGTTACCACTTGCGTCCAACACTTGCGTCTCGGGATCGACCCACTCCGGTATGCTGGTCAGGGCACGATTTACACACTCGACCGTACGCTTCCCGCTCTTCCACTTGCAGGAACACTTGTCGGCGCACTTGTCGCTGGTTACGATACCGAGCAACGTCGTCGCGTAAAGTAAGAGCACTGAGATATCCATGACGATCCTGTTTATTATTGTCGAACGGCGGTGTCGGTGTCGGTGTCGGTGAACGTTATCCTCCTCGAATCTACGACGGTTCGAGGACGCGGACTCTGTAAGACGCATCAACGAACGATAGAATCTTTCGTAAACAAAACTCGATCCCTGTACCCCTCTCTTCTTTTCCTACCCCCGTTCACTTTCCGAATTTCATCTTCGGTCGCCCTCTTTCGGTCTTTTCTTCCCCGAAACTTCACGCGAACAGTTCTTGCAGCATACCGCGTCTAATTATGCAAACGAGAGGGTCGGGATTAAGCGGTCTCGGCTCGTCCATTCGTGAATCCTGCCTCGACTCCGATGACTGCGCGACTTCTCTCTTCGCTTACCCCCCCACCCACCCACCCCCCCTCGAAACGGCTCGTCGCCGCTGGCCGTGCGACTATTTTCGTAGCGAACTCGCGAATCGACGAAAACTACCACAGTCTTCTTTCCCGTCTGGCTTTTCCGTATTTGTCGGTACTCGTCACACACGCGCGCGCGCACATTGGAATACGTCGTACGTACGAGCAGGTCATACACCACGAGCGTCCGTTCTTACGTAAACGAGTTGATCAACGTGCGCCACTATCCGCGCTGGCTGGGCTCCTTCGGAGATACGCCGTCGAAAGTAACACCCCCGTTATCGTCGTTTAGCGTCGCACCACGAACAACAGACACCGTGTAACACCCGAATTTCACGCGATAAACTCTCTCCGTGTGGTACGTGTGCGTGCGTGTACGTGTGTGTACGTGTGTACGTGAGTGTACGTGTGTGTACGTGTGTAGCGCGCGCGTTCTCACAGCTATTGCCCGAGGCGTTGTCCGTGCTAGGTGATCTCGGCTTTTTTTTCCCCCGATTTTATTTCCGACGAACGTGCGAAACACTCGAACCGATGGCGCGGACGCTCGTCGTGAAATGAGAGACTATGAAAAGCCCGGCACTGAACCGGAGAGATACCCTCTCCCGCCTTCTCTGTCTTTCTTTCGGAACGTCGTTGCACACTGCCAGGAGGGAAAACGCCGACGCGAAGTAGGGCGCACCCTTCTTCCACTCTGGCCAGACTATATACAGGGTGTACACACCACCACCGTGATTCCGTGCGCCCCTTACGGCGCCTTTCCTCTCCTCCAGCGTCATCCGCCAGCATCCTTCACCCCCTTCGCAAGCCTGCTGTTCCCTGCAAACCCTCCCCGCCGCTCCCAGCCAGACAGCTCGTGCGCTTTCCACAGCGACCGGGGTAGGGATCGTTTCCACCCCTACCATCGCGGACAAGCAACCCCACCTACGTCCCTACGCTTTCCAACCCCCTCTAAATGGATACACGACGGGGCGCGCGCACAACATTACCAATGCCCGCTCTCTCTGGCGCTCCTCTTTCTCCAACCTGCGCCACGTTTTCTCTACGAAGCTTCCTGACCTCGCCCCGCGCCCCGCCGCCACCGTCCCCGCGCGCCATCCCTTCCGCCGCGCCACCTTCGACCCTCCAACCTCCCGTTTTTCGACGTATCGAATGCTACGTCACAGCGGCTAGATATACGGCTATTTCACAAAGTGGTTAAATGCACTGCCAGATTACGGATTGAAGGAAAGAGGGGGTGGCAGGCAGGCAAGGCAGACCAGCCAGGGGGCGGGGGAGAGTTGGATGAGAAAGAGAAAAGGCCGTCAACGACGGGGCTAACGGTGCCGGCTACGATATCGTCTATCGGCCACCGTCAACTGCCAGAGGACACTCGTCGTTCCTGGCTCTTACAATCGGACCTGGAGAAGTCATTTTACCCTTATTTTTCCTCCTTCTCTCTCGTTCTTTCTTTTTCAACGGTGGCCCCCCTTTCTTGCACGTCGTCTTCGCTCGAGCGTTTACGCTCTCGAGAAGTCTGCGCCTGCTTCCACGACCCTCTCTGCCCCCTACTCAAGACACGGAGGAAGGGCATCCCTCCCCCTACCCTTTCTGTCTGTCATCTCTCGTGGAAATTATACGGAAAATGAGGGTATTCCTTCGCGGAGGAAAGTTAGATTCGGTCGAAGAAGTTGGCGCCGGGGAAAAGGAACGGGAGGGTTGGCCGGAGCCAGAAGTAAATGTGACACTGACGACGGAAGACGACGGGGAACGCGCAGCCCGGCCAGACTGTGCGCGAAATTTTCCCTAAAGGACCTTTTAGAGGTAATTGATCGTCCGAAACCGATACACGTGTCCCACGCTCGCCACGTGTAATGGCACCGTTAATGGGCGCGGAACCTTTCCCTCGCCGCCCGATCAAAGAAGCCGTTAACCGTTTGAATGCCAAGCAACGCGATCGCGTCTGCTGTCATTTCGTGTTCAGAAGCGACGACGCACCAGAGGACTTCGACCGAACTATACCGAGAAATGTAATATCGAAACACTGATGCCTTTCTAATACCGAACGCCAAAATAAATACAGGTATCGTTTCGATATCCCTATTGTGGAAGTTGCCAAACTCGAGGACCAATCATCGTCTGTTTGTATTCCACATCTTTATTACCTGGTCTGGTATCTAGTATACTGTCGAAAGGTGGCACCAATTGGTGGTAGTTATTTTGGTATATCTGGGATAAGAAAATGGTACTGATATTAGGTCTCTGCTTGAAATAAATCTTGAGAATAATGAAACAGAGAAACAGAGAAAATTGTCGGTAAGTATTAAAACCATCCTTTACCAACGTTGCAAGCCTGGTCATTAAATATTCATACATGAGACTGATCATGCTTCATCGAAAACGTGAAAAACGAAGTTTGAAATTAAGGAAGAAACAATACATGAAAAGCAGATTTTGACCCGATGGATGTGTTAAATGGCGTGACGTTATTAACAAATCCTGCGCTATTTTTAAGTTGAGCTACTAGTTGACCTACTGTACTTTGATTTTGAAACGATTTTAGAATCCGTAGAATAAGCAAACGTTAAACATTGCTCTGTAATTCATTCGCGTTCAATGCCTTTCACTTTTGCCTGCAGTATAATCAAGCTTAAGGGAGATAACCATCGACAATTTCCAAGTACCTCCCACGATAACATCCCCGAGCTAGCGAACATTAACGAGGGCTCACTGTTTTTCGATATTTCGGTTTTTATAAATGTTACGACAGCACAACCGATATTCACCATCGAAGTTATACCAAAACCGATATAACATCGAAATAAATACGGGTATTATTATATTTTATCACGTAAAAACTGTGCACTGGTGTCGTATCCTATGTTTTTAATATCTTTTCTGTGACGTTATTACTTGAAAAATCACTCGAATTTAAATGACAAGCTTTATTGCATTCCTTGACGTTGAATTCAAAACTTTCTCAAATCTAGTGAAATAATTAAATATTTCAACGAAGGTAAGTTGAAAAGTATTACTGTTACATGATTTATTATCAAGTATAATTGTTTTTGTTCAAAAATAATTATTTTTTTAACAGAAGTATTGACACAATGAGTTCGATGCTTAGGAAAAATTTTAATAGGAGATTCTAGAGGCGAAAATAAGGGGAAAATCAAGAATACCAATTTGTTGATGGAGGCTTCGTTAAAAAGTTATTAATATTTCAAGTTCCGCTCAAACTGAATTTTTTTCTCGAAAATGCGTAGGATTTCGGGGGTATGTCTAATCACCAAAAATAATTGCAATTGACCCTCGCAACAGAAAATAATTTTTTCAAAATGATTTGAAAATTTTTAATTTTGTCGAAAAATTTCACATTTCCGAATTTTTTCTTGAAAATGCGCAGGATTTCGGGGGTATGTCTATTCACCAAAAATTATTGTAATTGACCCTCGCAACAGAAAATAATTTTTTCGAAATGATTTGAAATTTTTTAATTTTGTCGAAAAATTTCAGATCTTCCCAAATTTTTTTCTTGAAAATGCGCAGTATTTCGAGGATATGTCTATTCACAAAAAATGACTATAATTGAATTACGCATCCCAAAATAATTTTTCCAGAACGATTTGAAATTTTTTAATTTTGTCGAAAAATTTCACACCTCCGAATTTTTTTCTTGAAAATGCGCTGGATTTCGAGGGTATGTCTAATCACCAAAAATGATTGCAATTGACCCTCGCAACAGAAAATAATTTTTTCAAAATGATTTGAAATTTTTTAATCTTGTCGAAAAATTTCACACTTCCCGAATTTTTTTCTCGAAAATGCGCAGGATTTCGGTGGTACGTCTAACCACCAAAAATGATTATAATTGATCCCCTCAGCCGAAAATAATTTTTCCAGAGCGATTTGAAATTTTTTTTGTTCGTAGAAAAATTTAGGTACCTACCCCCTGTCGATTTCTCTTAAAAATTCGTTTCTGATTTTTAATTAATTTGTTTGATGCCCTATAGAAATTTTGTGTAATACTTTTTTGTAGGTATCCATGAGCTCTACTCCAGGAAAATGTTTCATTGAAATATATTCACTATTACAGGAGTTATGGCTGTTTTTAAATTGAACCATTTTTATGGGGGTTTTCTAACTTTACGGGGTCAAGAAGCAACTTTTTCAATATTGTTAGAATCTCTACATATTCTCCACTAAAATACGCGTTATTTGCCGTTTGAAACATTAAAATCCTTCGATCCGTTCAGAAGTTATGACGTTCTAAAGATACGCATGAAATTTCAGTGAAACATATCAATATATGGTCAGACATTGTATTTTCAGTGAGGAATTTTTTTCTCGAAAATGGTTAAGATTTTGAGGGTATGTCTATTCGCCAAAAATGAATGTAATCAACTCACGCAACCGAAAATAATTTTTTTAGAACGATTGGAAAAAAATTTTTTTCGCCGGAAAACTTTGGGCACTTTATTTTTTTTCTCGAAAGTCCGTAGGATTTCAGAAGAATATCTATTTACAAAAAATGATTGTAATTGACCCCCGCAACCGAAAATAATTTTTTTATAATGATTTGAAGTTTTTTAATTTCGTCGAAAAAGTTCACTTACTGAAAAATTTCACACCTTCTCGAATTTTTTTCTGGAAAATGGGTGGGAATTCGGGGGTATGTCTATTCACCAATAATGAATGTAATTAACCCACGCAACTGAAAATAATTTTTTTAGAACGATTTGAAAAAAT